GGCTTGCTACGTTATCTTCTACTGGCTTCAGCTCATTTTGTAGAAGTGAGATGGCCATGGCCGCGGTGGGACTTGACTAAGGACCGCTTCATGTGTTCACCAGTAGCTTTCATTCACTGATGTTGCAAACATGAACGAAGCTATGTAGAGCCAGTGGCTGAACTTTTTTATACGCTTATCGAATTCAGTTTGAGACTATCCTTGAGTACTGTTTCTGCAGGTGCCCCCCATGGCAAACAATCTCCACAGCGAGATCTCAAGGGTCAAAAGAATCAAAAGAAATGCCTGACCCACAGACCATATTATCAGAATAGGTCACCAAAATCATTGCACCCTCCTGAACTGAGGCGGATGAAGTGCTGAGTGTACTGGCTTCACTGGTGACCGAGCAGGAGCAGGCAGGGGCTGCCAAACACGCATATTGAAACACTCATGCATGAACCCCTTAAAGTTTTCCAGGCATGCATGTCATGCATGTTCACGCATAATTGACCCCATGCATTCATGCATGCATCCATGGATGGCAGGCGGAAGCTGTACCACCAAGGGTGGAGGACAATAGGCGTCTTATTGTTATATCATCTATATATATATAGACTTTGATGGCTTGTTACCAGCTGTCCATGCATGAGCTCGGATTCTTGCTTTGTTTTTTTAGCTTTAGTTGTTGTTGCCCTGTTGATTGCTGGAGGCCTGCAGAGTCCAGTGCAGAAGCGGCGTGGAGACGACCACCGCCAATGTTGCATCTTGACCCTCGAAGGCCAAGCAGGTCAGAACAGTTTGGGGCTAGACCTAAACCTCAGCCATCAAGGTCAGCAAGGCGTCTAGACCCGCAGCCTCACACTTCAGAGCCCAAGGCAATTCCCAAAAAAGTTGCCAAGGCTGCTGCAAGGGAAGAACTGCCAATGGCACCGTCTGGCTTCCTTGCCAAAGCTCGACCTGTGGCGCCTCCTCACCCTCAACCTATGCCGGCTCGACCTGTGGCGCCTCCTCCTCAACCTACGCCGGCTCGACCTGCGGCGCCTCCTCAGCAGACTCAACCTATGCCGGCTCGATGTGTGGCGCCTCCTCAACGGCCTCAATCTATGCCGGCTCCTCAAACTACGCCACCACCTTACCCACGTCCAACCAGGAATCCAGATAATGTTGATGCAAAGCCAAAAGTTCCCCAACCTCCGCCCAAGCCGCTCCACCCACCTAAGCCTTGGTGGCCACCTGCACCGCCTCCTGCAGTCGCTATGTCTGTGTCATGGAAAAGGCCTAGGCTCGGTTGACTTCAGGACCTCGGTTGACTTTATATAAACATGATGCAATGTAGATGAACCAAGATGAACCAGAAAGAAAAGTCTTGCATATATTCGTAATAAACACATGTATGTATGTCTTCAATGTTTGTTTGCTGTCGTTTTCCATCAGCTTGTGCACACACTAGTTCTCACAGACATTGAAGTTTGTTGTCGCGCAACCTGTGGGCTCTGCAGGATGGAAGGCACCTGCGGCTCAAGAGGCTTTTGGGCAGTCTGGAGGCGAGTGCAAAACCACAAGCAATGAATTAGGGGAGTCATTCAGTGTTGATGGTCAACTCAGTGGTTGTTACTTGGTGCAGGCCTGCTGTCTGCTGCAGCTTTGCTTTGGTTTTCGCGAAGAAAAAAGCAGAGGGAGCATGCATGCATCCATCCATGCTATGTGTGCTTTGAGCCTTGTTATTTGCTTCGTTGACCTTCATTGTTCACATTCACAAGGATCTCAATTAATATAATTTTGCTCTTGACAGGTACCCAATGGCTGACTGGCATGTCATGGCCGAGATGGAAGGCGGGATCCTGGACAAGAAGTTTGCAGACATGCTTGGCATCGTTCGTTTTGTACATTCATGCATGTGAGTTTTGAGAGCTTGCCACTACATCAGTGTCTGCCCCTTGAAGATTGGCTGGCTCAAGTCCACTGGCAGGGGTGAGTCCATTGGGAGTGTGCCACTTGCATTTCAATATGCCTTTTTGGGATCGTGGTTCGATCGTTTCTTCGATGGCCCACTGCGGTGCGCCGAAGGCTTGTGCAGTGAGCTTTGATGAAAGTAAATTGCGCATCTGTGCGGGGGCTTGCTTTCCCAGATTTTTGTTCCAAATAGATCTGCTGGAAGGCTATGATTGGTATTGTGACAAGCTCAATGTTCTTAAATATTTCAAGTCCTGCCTCAACAAAAACCCTACCTTATAGAGTTTGGCTGAGGTGCTCTTGATGATGTGGAATGCTTCTTTTGATTGGTCTCAGCCTGACTTTGATTTCGTCGAACTTTTCAGTGGCTGCGCAGCCGCTAGCAGGCAATGGTCCTTGCCTCAGGCATCTTGCAAAGGCCATGTGTCATGGCCTGTGGTTCATATCATTCATCCATGGAAGTGCAAATAATGCTTATAATGGTGTGGTGTTGATAAACCCGGAGATGTGATACAGCTGTATATGGCCGGTTAATATATTCAATTGCACTAGGAAGAAGCAAGGGCTCAACGTTGCCACCTTTGATATCGAGTATGGCAAGAAAAAGGGGAAACCACGATGCATGGACATCAACTCCAATGCGGGGTTTTTGTCTGGGGCTTACAGGTTGTGGTTTGCACTTCCTTTGACCCATGCATGTTATACGTCATATGATTATGCACGACTATACATACTCTGGCGCAAAGGAATATGTGGTAACAGGTTCTGTTGTGTTGCTTGCAGGGTGGCCCTTTTCAGGTGCCTGAAACTTGGACCTGGCTGTCTTGCCCTAATTGGCATCGATTGCTCTAGCTGGGGAGTACCGGCAAGAGGCACGACCTTGCGCAGTTCTTTGAACAACGCTGTGGGACTGACTGGTCGCAGCATGGTGTATAATGGCAGCAAAATGGCCTCCAGGTTCCATGGTTTGAATTGGATTCACAATCCATGCTCTCAAGTCAAGCGCATTCTTTACACATGTTGACCTCTGGGTGGCGGGGAGGGGGTGTGAAGCTTACGCACGTGTTGCTAAGGGTGGTCTTATGCTGTCTTGCCGTCCTGGTTGTCCATTCATACTTTGTGATCGAGCAGCCCCGACAGAGCATTCTCTTTCAATGGTTTCGATTGCAATGGCTTCAAGAAGTGGTGTGCTATGAGTCTTGTTGAAAATGTGCAAACTCACCATGGTAAATTGATTGGGTCTGTTCTTATGCAAGTGTGCCGTAGACTTGGAATGACTTGGACTTAGGTACACATGGCATCATGGTGGATGATGCAGTATGGGGGGCCCACACCAAAACGATTACAAGCTAGAAGCAACTGGAAGCACATTGTGTCTTTGCAGATGGGTCGGCTGGCAGCGGGCTTCATGAAGGAGAACACCAAGTTTAAGACTGCCTGCAAGAACCTCAAAGCTTGGAAGTCATCTCACGCATGTTCTTAATATAGCCAACCCAGTTCATGCATGGACTTGAGGTAAGAAAGGTGCTGCATGGAGTGGAACAAAGGAGCTTAAACAGACACAGCACCAGGGCTGAAAGCTGTTCTTGAGTCTTGAGTTCATAACATATATATATAATATATAGATTTGGCTGCCCAGGGCCTATCCACCAGCTTTCGGCCGCCGACTTTATGACATTTGGAGAGATGCGCCTATCGAAGTCAACTGCACTTTGAGGACTGGACACGCATAAATGGTTACAAGTGTGTGCGATATAGTTGTGTGGAGAGCTGGAGGACCAAATACAATCCTTTCGACATGAAAAGGACAGACAGAGAAGTGTTCCACTCACTTGCTCTGGGTGATCCCTGGCACGATGCCGAGCTTGTTGAAGTGTGGTCTTTCCTTTACAACCATGAGAAAACAACAGTTCCAGATTCATGGTGCGATGAGATGGCTGCCTTCAATGGTGAATTGCTGGCACAAGTGCCTCCACCAGAACTTGTAAAGGAGTACAATGATTTGATCATGGGGTGATGGGTTGAAATGCCCAAAATATACCCGGGGGTGTCGCGCGAAACGGGCGCAAAATTTCGCGAAACGCGCGCAAAATCGCGCGAAAGGCCGCAAAAAAAAAAGGTGTACCACTTACATGCATGATCACGCATGAAAATGTTACATTCTTGCTCATGCATGTCGCCATCACTCATGTGCCTTGCCCTCTTGGCTTGAATCGTCTAAGTTTTCTTGTTTCACTTGCAGAGTGCAGTTTTGAGTTGAGATGAGTACCAACACACTGGATGCGGGCCTTGGTATGCTGAGACTTGCCACTAGTGCCTCTGATGGTGATGTGGAAACCTTGATTAAGGATCCTGCATGCATGCATGCATGCGCAACTTTGCATGGACACATGTTAGACACCTAGGTTCCATTTTGGAAGAGTGCATGCCTTCACTTGCTGGTTGCAGGAGAAGCTTGAGCGGATTAGGAAGCTACAAGCCGACCTTCGAGACCCAGCAGTTGAAATCCCTGATCCAGAAGCGGAGGAAGCAGCTCCTGGTCTTGGGCTGATGAATGTCTTGCTCGCGTTCGCCGGTATAGATATATATTTATACACCATGCATGCATGAAAGAGCTAGGTCATCGATACTATGCTCGTGATGGCAACGGTGCTCACGCCCCTGGAAATGCTGCCGTTTCTCGCTGACAACTATATATGCTCAGTCATTTGTTCATCGTTTTGTTGGCGCTGACAGATATCCCTGGGAAATGCTTTGCCAAAGGCGGCGGCCGTGGGCTCAGTAGATTCTTTTAATTCTGCCAGACAGATAGTCACCCCATCTTCGCATTGACACCAATTGTTTCACACACCATTGAGTCGTGACTTTCCACTTCAGGCCCCTGAACACAGTACAACCACACCAGTGAGAGACCAGCCAGAGGTTCCACCTGCTTTGCTGCTTGTTTTGGAAAGGTTTCCTTTTGCATGCAAACGAGCTGTCTGATAAGCTTTCTGTTTTTTCGAGCTGCTAAACTGTGTGAACTTTTTTTGGCTGTGGTACATCACATTGTTTGAGATACATGCATGTCGCAAGCATATGTCCAACACTGCATGCATGTGGGTATCCCTTGGGTGGAACCAGCGTTGGAGGCCCGGGATGCTGATGCATGTTCTCCGCTCGCCTTGAAACCTTTGCTGTCACCAGCCCCCACCTTGCTGTATATGGCGGAACCTGTGCAAACATATGTGAGCAATGATGGGAAAGAGACCAGTGTTGAAACACCAGCTCTTGTACCAAATATGGTAGAGGAGACCTCTGAACCACCAGCTCTTGTACCAAAGACCGGAGAGGAGACCCACCCTGAACCACCAGCTCATGTACCAGAGACTGTTGAGACTAATGCTGAGCTACCAGCTCATGTACCAGAGACCAAGGAGGCTGCACCTCCTCCAGTGACCGAACCACTCAGCGCCAGCACCGGTGCTATGAAGGACACCCCATCAAGTCGTACTGGGGCCTACCTCAAATCTGTTGGAAATTCGCGCCGGACAAGTGCAGAGACTATTCAAGCTGCTTTGCTTGCGATGAAGCCTGGGGCTTGCGGGCAGGATGAACTCATGGCAGAGTTGCTGAATCTGCACCGAGCAGTTCACGCACAGCATCAGCAGCCCAATGAAGCTACCAAAGATACTAGTGAGAAGGTACCTGCTGCTGAACCGGCTTTGGTTTTGGCACCAGCACCGTCCATTGCAGAAGCTGCAACCATTCCTGCAGACACTGGACTTCTGCCCCCTCAGTCTCCAGCTATGTTGACTGGGTACCCTGCTGCTGAAGGAAGTGGCGAAGAAAGACTTGGGTGGGGTGTGACCTTGCATGTTGATTTGCCCCCAGCTGATACCAAACCTCCAGCTGCTGCACCTGCAGCGGTGAAAGCTGTGCCTTCCATGCCTGAACCAACTCCCAAGGCTGCACCACCTCCTGTGGTGGCCCCCTCTCCAGTTGAACCCGTGGCGCCCGCAGCGGTGAAAGCTGAGAAAACCATGCCCGACCCAATTCCCAAAGCTGCACCACCTCCTGTGGTGGACCCCTCTCCAGTTGAAGCTATGGAGCCCACCGCAGCCACACCCCCAGCCGAAATTGCAGTGCCCTTCGCAGATGCGGTGGTGCCTACGACTGCGCCAGATGTGCAGGCCCAACTGGACGCTTTGAGGCCTGGTCAAAGATCCAATTGGTTGCTGTTTGTGTTGAAATTTAATATGTAGCTGTCTTCCAGGTTGTTGCATGCGTGGATATTTTGTGTTTTTTCAAGAAGTTTGAACAGAAGTAGGCATAGATACATAGAAAAAAACAGATACAGCTAGAAGCACCCTACCACCAAATTAGCTTTCCGGTTCTTGCAAGCATGCCTGGCCAGGGTTGGATTGAAGCCTGGCCAAATGGACAAGCTTGATCATAAGTGCCTGGCCTTAGCTGGGGAAAAACCTGAACCAAAAGAATCATGCGTGACATGGTGTGTGCTCAGGATCCGAAGGCATGTCATGAGTGTCCAGTCGGAGGACTTGTTGCAAGCGTGGAAGGACAAGGACCAACGTGTCTTGTTTTGTTCCAGATGAACTTGTACCTACATGCATGCTAAAATTGATGGCATCTTTGTTTGGATCGTATCTTGATTCACTGCTTTATGCAGTTTGTTTTTGTCTTGTCACCGATTTTTTCCTGGCTTGATTGCTTGTTCACTCATGCTTGTTCACTCATGTGCTTGTTCACTCATGTTATTTTTCTTGAAATTAGGCTTGCAAATGTGCATTTGTTGTTCATGTAGATTTTGGCAATGTGGGTTCAGAAAACATGCATCTTAAGAAGTATCTTCGGTGTGGCTCCGTGATGTGTCACGGATGCTTGCATCCTTCACAATGTTCTGCTCAGGTCAGAAGCTGAAGGCGACCTGGCTTGAGACGGGCTCTCTTGATGAGGTGGACGCGTGCGCTACACAGCTACGTTCCCTTGCGGTGAAACAAAAGAACGTGGAAAAGCCTGTTACTAAAAAAATGCTTGCTGAAGTGTACCATTGGGATGAGTGTTTTGGTTGCATACAGGATGTAAGCACATGCATGCAATGTTGGTGGCAATGTTGTTTGGCCATGAAGAACTACCATATCACATGTGCGCACGCGGATGAAATCCTAGGACCATGATCAAGAATGCATGGGAGTGGGCAACCGCGAGAAACTTGGTTTACAAACACCACATCAATCAAGCAGAATACGTGAACTTGGATGTTGACTCCTTCAAATCCACCACCCGACTTGCAAAGAGTGACATCAAATTGCAGAGCTCAGCAGTTGTGAAGGACCCAACATTTGGTCTAGACAGTTGTCGTTCTTTCTCATTGGGGGCAGCTTCGTCTACCTTTGCTTAACTGTGGCAGGACAGTGTTGGAGCCATGCTTTATCTGCCGGATGAGGGTATGGCAACCATGGCAGACCCATCCACGCCACAAGACCCGGCGCCAGTGGTCCCGTCACTAAGATGCATGTTCACCCAATTCTGGTCAAGATCATTGCACGGCAGGTGGCTGCTCTTATCTTCACAGTAAACTATGAATTTTGACAGACCCAATTAAGGAAAGATAAGCTCGCGTTTCCGACTTTGCAGCAGAATACAAGTCCCTTTCAGCAGCTCGGGGCTTTTCTCTTGGTCTTGGGCCGCAAGATTGACAACGCACAGTCGGTCAAGGAGTGGTAAGGGACTAATCTGTAGGGTTTGTTTAGCTGTATATGTTGTGTCGAAGCGCTGCTTGCAGGAGAAGTTGGATAGCTATCCGACCATTGCGAAGGCCAAAGAGCTTCCGCCTCAGACCATAATTTTCCACACGCCACCTGCTTTAGTTACCATACACGATCCTCTTACTTTGTGATATCTGTGTTGCCTTTTTGCGCAGAGAGTGTGAGAGCTTCATCTAGTGCCCATGGCTTGTGCCATGTATCCACTGTTTTGTATATAGATCTTAAGTTTCTTTGTCCCTTTCTTTCCTCCACGCATTGCAATTTGGATGAACACTGTTTGCGCATAATGTATACTGAATTTCAACCTTACCCTTTCCAGGCTGTCTGAAGGCATTGACAAATCCCTGAAGAACCTTGTGAAAGAGAATGCACAAATGATTGAGCTGCAGGGAAATTCGATGGTAAACGCTCCCAGGGAGTTTCTTGGCTCAATTATATAAGTGTTTTCAATTGAAGTGCCAAGTGATTATGTCAACTGCAAGATCTGCAATAAGCGTGCGTGCATGTGTCCAAAGCTTGCAAACCCAACCTCTGTGTTGTTGGGCAGGGATGACAAGAAGAAGTTGATTGCTCACTACATCGAGTGCACAAAGAATGACACGGTCATGAACAACTTTCTGGCCAGGGCAAAGTCGCAGCCTCACCCTTGTACTTATTTGATCTGATCTTTTGCCATGTGATGTTACTGCTGGTTTTTCAAACAGCACACAGCTTGGGGGTTTGGATGCGATTTGGATATGTTCTCAGGATTTGGAAGCCACCCTTGACAGATGAAGAGAAAGCTGAAAGGAAGGAAAAGCAGAAGGCTCGCAAAGACCGCAAGGACAAGAAGGAGAGGGATGGAAGTGGTGAACGGCCGAGGCGAGGCTTGATCAAAACAATGCGGGAGTGAATGAGTGTAGTGTCAGACTGCTCCCCTGGCTTCCCTCCTCCATGCTGTCAGGAAGAAAGTCAAAGATGAATGAGTGACTGTTGCTGCGGGGGCTGGAAGGAAACCGGAGCATGCATGCATGATCACGCATGGGTTTACAATAGGTTGCCTGGAAAAATATTCATGCATGCACATGTTTCTTGAGTGAATCACGCATGGCTCGTGGCCCGTGTAGATTTTGGAGCTCTGGGCTCTGGCGGTGTAGACAGCTATGCCCTTGACGCATGAAAAATGCTGCTTGATTCTGTTGCATCAGCGCTGCATCGACCATCTGCTAGTTTCCTTATGACACTTTGTTCTGTAATGTATACATGTTTGCTTTTTGCTTCGTCTTTACATATGTTTGGTGTTTTCAACAGATGCCAGCCTCCTTCACCCTGCATTAGCCTGTGGCAGGTATAGACCTGGTTGCAGAGTGTTCTGGGGAATGCCCTGTCCCACCTGAAGGCTCATGAGCAAATGGGCCAAGAGTCAGAACATGCATGCTGGGAGCTATAGCTGATCAGGTGGTCAAACCAGGCGACCAAGAGCTGCATCTTCATACGTAGAACTAGACCAAGCGCTTCTGGAAGAAATCTTGGAGCACTTCGAGACAGGGGTGCGCATTGAGATTCACAGGCTTTTATGATCTTAACTTGTTGATCTCTTTTGTCCTGTGATCCTGTGTGTTTGATAGGCGGACAGTGCGCGTTCTTGTGTCTCAGCTGCCCGGCTTACGAGTCACCTCCGTCATCAGGATGGCAGTAACTTGGTTGTGAACTGCTATGCATGGGTTCAGATCGACGATCAAGTGACAAAAATTCATGGATCTTGACTCCTGGATGGCCAGGTATTCCTCAGACGTTGGCTGCAATCGCTGATTGGAAAGCCCCCAACCATTACCACCGGAACCTGCACAGACTCATCATGAAGTTCGGTATGTCCCTCCCAGTGTCGATCAGCTGTGTGCCTACACCAGTCAAGGTACGAACTCAAGTTGCAGATCTTCCGTGGCCAGTGCTCATGTTGAGCAGTTGGCTGCGCTTAGTGTTCGAAAGCACGAGTGGGGCTATGGTTTTGAATGGATGCAGGCTGGCGCAGCAAGACTTGTGGCAAAGAGAGCTTTGGTCCTTCTGGACCCTTTTCCGAACCGTCCTTCCAAGCCACCCTATCTATGAACAAAACGAGGAGTACTGGTCTCGATGCATACCCTTCCAGTACCATGGGGACGAAGGTCGAGGTAAACTCCGTCGTCAGGTTTTGATTTGCAGCTATGCCCCGGCTTTGCAATCGAAAGGGCACTCATTTTTGAGCAGGTTGCTGGCCACGATTGTACCAGGAGAAAGGTATGCATGCACTGAAGAAGGACGCGAGTCTTTAGAATGCTTGCATGAAGCCATTGCTGAAGACTTGATTGCTCTGTTCAATGAGGGGTTGGAGGTGCCCTGTTTGAAACAGTTTCGCATGCACACATGATGTAGGAGTCATGATGTATGTAAACAGGTCATTGAAGTGAAAGCACCTTCATGTGTCTATGCATATGCATTGCCTTTTGATGGAGGTTACAAAGCCTGATGGTACCGTTGTCACTTTACATGTGGCCTTCATTGGAGTGAAGGGTGATTGGCCTTGGCAAAGAGCCTTGCTGGCAGTTTTTGTTGGTCAAAAGGTCATATGGTCATACCTACATCTTGCGTGCCGTCATGCGCTGCTTCAGGAAAATGTCACCGATTGCAAACTGGGTTTCGAAACCTCCGGATTTGCCACTACTGCAGCGGGAAGGCTGCTGGACTTCTCAAGTTGGCTCTAGTTTCTTATGATTTGCTTTGCGCGCTTGTTGAGCAGGATTGGTGGCAAACATCTTTGAGAGCCCCATGGAGAGCAGAGCGACCAGGACCTCCTGCTACCGATGGATCTGCTTTAGCTGCTGCCCCTGGCCTTCATGCATATGCATCTCCGCCAGACCAAATGCACACATGGCATCTAGGCATAGGCCAAGACTTTGCAGGTTCTATGGTGGTGCCTTGGCAATGCTTTTGGTGCCTGAGTTTGGTGTTGATTCAAGCGTGAAAATGAGTTCGGTGTCTCGTGTTCCATGTGGTCGCTGTTGTTGGAGGTGCTCTTGGCATGCCGATTGATGTGGTGGGCAGGCTCCACTATTGAGGAACGGCTCAACAATGCATTCTTCAGTTTTCATGCATGGTGCCGCCAGCACAAAGCAACCACATCCTTTGTGCAATTCGACCTCAAGAAAACATTCAAGTGCACGTCGTGTCTTGTCAAACATGCATGGCGTGCAAATTGCAAGCGTGTAAGAGCATACAATTGCTTTTCATGGACATATATAGTCTCTAGCAAGGTTGCAGCAATGCCCGCGACTTCATGGGAAAGCCTATGACACGGCAGTTGTGTGCAAGTGGCTGCACAAGGTGTTGCAATCGCAGCCGGCCAATGATGCTCATGTCCCTTGCAGCTTGTGGGGTTGAATGTGTCAACCAACCATGCATGTGGGTGAATGTGTGCATGGCTGCTGAGGTTGCCAGCAGGGATTTGATCTCACTCATGCTGTGGGTCTTGGGCTGTCTTCAGTCTTACTTCTCGGCCATCAAGGGAAGGTGGCTAATCAGGTCTTTGGCTGAGTCCGCAGTTCAAAATTGTCAGAACTTCTGCGAGCCTGGCATGCATGAATTGGCATGTACAAAACTTGATCTACTGTTTGCTTTCCAAATTAGATTTTCTCCATGCACGGTGGCTTTCCTGAGGAAGGTTACACAGCGCTTTTCTGCTGGTGCAAGCGCAGTGGCTACAACATGTTTCCTGCGAAGCCTAAGCTTCACATGCAGATGGAAATTGGGTGGCCAAGCTGTACATGAGAGTCTGGAACGTGTTCAGCTGCTGTGCATGACTGCTGCCTTTTTTCTTTGCCAGTTCGGTAGTAAGTCTAAGTAAGGTTGTGGATGGATGACCAGCTTCAAGCTGGTGCTGCAATGGTCCTTTCACCCAATTGCATCTTGATGTGCAAAACCCATGTGCACCTGTGAGGGGTCAATGCGTGCAGCATTTACACCTGCATACCTGTGACCGAGGTTACAGTACATGGCAGGATGAAGACTACATCGGGCGGGTTACTTCGCTTCATTCAAACCTGTTTATGTGTGAAAGGTCAGAGCATATGTGGTTTGCTGTTTGGGCCATTTATGTTTTGCAATGCGTGTGCTAGGTTGCAAGGATGTCGCGAAGGGCACACAGCTGGACAATTTGTCTTGCTACCATGAGACGCGCTCTCATGCATTACCGGCGCAAATGGCGCGAGCAGGGATGGCTACACTGAAGTTCCAAAAAGGTGTGCTATGATGTCTTGCTTTTCAGGTTTGTTCATGCAGTGTACATCCTACCACGTCTGTACAGTTGGTTGGGTGAAGTCACTCATTCTCTGATTTGTTGGGATGTTTCACTATGCTGTTGATCTTGCAATATTCTAGAATGATCCTTTGGGGTG